AACAACAAGAAAGGAGTAGAAAGAGCTCGCAACTTTTAGAACGTTTTTCTCAACAGCGAAAAAAATTCGACCAACCATACAGAACTTGACTTTCAAACTTTCACTAAACCCGATATAACAAATACAATTTTTGCTTCTAACGTACCCCTACTCCATTGTTGACATCGGCTCCTTTCTTCAAAAGTAACTTAATATCAGTGTGACCATTCTTTACAGCTGCAGTGAGCAGAGTGACCTCCTATACGTAGGAAAAAAATTGGAAAAAGAACGGTAATGTATAAAGGTCATATTCTCCTTTTTTAATGTCCACGGTAAGGAAAAATCTGCGTTTGGAACAACTACATTCTGCAGGACGTTTTCAAGCTAAGCTCAGAAGGAGTTTTACCTTGTACAATAGTTCCCCAAATCAAAAGAATTCTTATTAAAGGTTCGAAGGGGTAATAAGAATGAAGCAAAAAAAGAATACTCTATCCAGGAATAATCGGCATCTAAAACTTTTCAAGCAAGGCTTATCAAAGTAACACTTCAAAAAAACATAATGGGTAGAAAGTGTCAAGCGCATGAGACAGTTTGATATTGACTACTGGAAAAACTGCGCAGTTTTAAACGATATCTAATCAAAACGTCCTTTGAGTCGTTCCTTTGAAGGTCATGATTTCCATCATCGAGTAACGGGTTGGTGCACACTTTTAGCAGTACCTTTTTTTCCCGTGGAAGATTTTTTATCAATTACTCTAAGGGAAAGACGATAATTTATACACTAAAATTTAGACACAGAAAATATAGGTAACCGAGCTCGTTCGAGAGCTATACACCATCGTACCTCTTTACCTGATTTATCGATTCAAAACCAATACCATGATCCAGGGATGTGTGCACGCTTATTCCCTTGATTACACATTTTTTTATGCGCAGTACACGATACAATACTGATCATTCAACTTAAACATTCTCGACTAGTCACCACCATCAAACAAATTTAGCCCTTCCTTTAAAAAGAGCATTGGTCTCCAAATAACTTTTTTTCCAGGTTTCCGTTACTTTCTACCCAAGTTTCCTAGCAGCTTGCGAGGAAATTATTTCATGACTGGGCTGGCACTACATCGTTACCAAAGAAACAACAAGAAAGGAATAGAAAGAGCTCGCAACTTTTCGAACGTTTTCCTTAACAGCGAAAAACATTCGACCAACCATACAAAACTTGACTTTCAAACTTTGCCTAAATCCGACATACCAAATACAATTTTTGCTTCTAACGTACCGGTACTCCTTTGTTGACATCAGCTCCGTTCTCTAAAAGTAACCTAACAATATCAGTGTGACCATTCCTTACAGCTGTAGTGAGGGGACTGTCCTATAAGAAGGAAAAATAATGGAAAATGCCCGGTAATGTATAAAGGTCATATTCTCCTCTTTTAATGGCCACGGTAAGGATAAATCTGCGTTTGGAACAACTACATTCTGCAGGACTTTTTCAAGCTAAGGTCAGAAGGAGTTTTACCTTGTACAATAGTTCACCAAATCATAAGAATTCTTATTAA